AAGATTAGCATGGTCCCTGCGTAAGGATGACACACATAAATCGATAAACGGTCCACACACACACAAAAAAAAAAAAGAAAAAAAAAAAGAAAGACAATGAGAAAGGGGGAAAAAAAGAAGGGTGCACGGGGCACTGAAGAAGCTGCTGTACATGGATGGCAGAGACTCCAGAGAGTCACCAAAAACTGCAAAATTGGGAAAGCGAATGATTCGATAGGACATGCCTGGGTGTGTGGAGGGGACAATGAGGGCATAGAATGAACCTTACCCTGAACGGTGGGGCATACGTCCCTTTCAGCTCTGTTGTGGAGAATGACGTCTTGCCACCTGGACGCACTACCTTCAGGCGCTTCCTGTTTACGTCAACAACTCTTTTCTCATGACCTGCAGCTCCAGGACCCTGTTGGAGTTTTCACATTCATCCAGCCACCCAGAATTTTCCACATGCCAATCTCAGCTTCAGTCTTACCCCTCCGTCCCAATATGATAGGTGCGTGGAGAGAAAAGCATAAGCGAACACCAGTACAGACACGCACGGAGACAGGGAGACCCATACGTATACAAAGACAAAACCGCGAACATGAACCCCAAGCGCATAGGTGACATAAAACAGCATCGATCGAGAGAGAGAGAGACAACACCAAAGGAAGAGTGAAGCAGACAGGCAGGAAAAAGGACGATTAGACGTGAGTAATATTCGAGATTGTCAACGAAAAAACACAGCACAGGTTAAGAACAAAAGGAAGCTCCAATAGCAAGCTGGGAAGGGAGACAGCGAACTGCTTAAATGGTCAAATCATCAAATGAGAGTACCGGCTGCAACAACAATTGGACCAAAATTACAAAAAACGGAAGGAGAAGGGTCTGCCGACAAGCAGGACTTGTCGGCAGAAGTTGTCAGCATAAGTTGTTGCAGCTCCTTACATCATCAATGGTGATCGTAGATGGTGCTATTCCCAAAGGAGGGCCCAGTATGGAATGGCCCATAAAAGAAAAGGGAAAGTGAAGCAGAAACGCAGGGAATAAAGCCAATGAGACATGAGTGATATTAAGATTGTTAAAGCACCACTACAGTTGAGCCTCTTTCTGCCAAGGTGGAGTCAAACTGCGCACCAACAGGGGGTCGAAGCGCCGGCGCGGAGTTTTTGTTTCTTTTGGCTGCGCCGCAACCCTTTGTGTGGTCCGGTAGTGCCCAGCCTCCGCCGGCCTATAGGTTACGTTTACGACTTAGCCTCCCAGCCTGGAAGATGGTGGTGGTTTAAGCGAAAAATAAAGCACAGGTTAAGACTCTTAAGAGCAAATAAAGCTACGAAGGGAAATACCTAAATCGTCACATCGTCAAATGAGATTGTGGGCTGGGACAATGGTCCAGCCAAATATTGTCAGACATGAAACGAACAGTGTCTGCTGAAAACAGAAACAAATTGGACTCGTTGCATCTCAACTACCATCAATGGTGGTCCTTCTTTTTTTTTTTTTTGAGAAACAGGGCTCGGGTTACTGCGCGGGGTGGTATGAGCACCTACCGGTAGTACCTTTGCCAGGTTCCATTCTATTGGTGGGGAGCATTACCTGCTGGAAACCGGGTTCAGCACAAAATGCTACATTGGTAGTGGTATTCTCAAAAAGGGACCCAGTAAGGTATGGCCTAGATGCCAGCCCCATGCTCCACACAGACAGGGCTAAGTGGCCTTAGGCTGAAATGAAAATAGAAAAGTCACATGAGATCCTCGCCCACTTGCACAGTAGGACAACGATTGTTGAGGGTGAACCTCTCACTCAGATAAGATCAGCAATCATGGGCTCTGACTTGACGAGAAAGAAAAAAACACAGCTGCAGAAGTCAGCCTCTTTCGCTCACCCTGCCAAACCTCCACTTTGTGCACTTCCTACTAAATTCTTTTACTGCTTTTTACCGCGTTATCTCATTGGAGTATAGCCAAGTGGGAAGGAATCGGTTTTGATACCACTATGCAAAGGTTCAAATCCTTTTACACCAGCGATTAATTCCAATTCAGATTTTGTTTTGAAAGCTGGCGTACTAAACTTTGGGAACCTCCAAAAGAAGCCAAACAGAACCTGTCCAAATACCAAAAATGAAAGGCCTGTATGTACACAATCAGCAGCTGGGAAGGTCGCTAAATCAATGGACTCGAAAGAGCACATCACATACTATAGCAGTACAAAATACGAAACTACTAAGAATCCATCGGCGCTCCGTCAAGGGGCAATTGTTGAGGGGCTTGCTGAAGGAGAGGCATGGGAGGAGACCAGATGAAGAAAGCTTAGGCAAGCAAACAAGACTGAATCAATACCTGATATTCCCTGTTGTACTTTGTCCACACCCACAGACTATGTTGGACTCAATGCAAGCTCAAGGTTTGGCCCCGCTGCCCATCTGAGTGCTCTGGGGTATAAAAATCTCCAAACAAATTTCCGCGTTTTGTGATGGCATCACTACAATGCGAGGATCTGGGTCCTCGGCAGGCCTAAGGGGCCCCTGCTTCAGATGTGCCCGCCCTAAGTGAAGGCGGGCCTAACAAATCACGAGAGGCCCTCAGCTGTCAATTTCGTATTTGGGGTCCAGGCAGTTTCAATGTGCCAGTTGGTTGAGGGAAACACAGGCCGAGCAGCAAGACATTCCATGGCCTTCCAGGCCTTCCAAAAATGCAGGCCCTGGGCGAGAATCGCAGCCTCATACACAGGCGGTTGGGAGGCCCAACCGAATGGAGGTCCAGCAGCAGCATCGGAGGCACAGCCTCCTGGGGCCTACCGGAAGCTTCTGAGCAGAGGCCCAGGCCAGCCAGGCCAGCCAGACCGCCGAGAGAGGCAGGTTCTTTCCATATAGGAAAGAGCTCGCTGCCTGGCGAGGCATTCAGCACTTGGATGCTGGCGGCAGCGCTGCTGGAGCGGACACTCGTGGGCCGCTGCTGGTGCTGAGAGGCAAGGAGCTAGCGCATGCGGTCGTGCAGGAAGCAGGGTGCTGCTGAGGGCAGCGCCATAGCCCAGCCTCCATAGCTGGATGGGCTTGGACTACAGTGAGGTGCAGGGGAGGTCTTCGAGTGTACAAAGGGAAGACGTGGATGTAAGAAGATGGGGAGAGAGAAGGATGATGATGATGATGATGATGATGTGAGGGCACATACCTGGTATTGGCAATAGTCTGCATTGGGCGACATCTTCAAGTACTTCGTGGGCTGCTGACGTCAACAGTTGCATTGTCAATTAGTAGGCAGATTGTAGCTATAAAGGAAGTAGGCTGGGCGTCGAGCGCCAAGTAGTGAGAAGGTCCTGAACTCTTGTGTTGGTGGTGGTGAGAGCAAGCTCTCATTGACATTGGTTTTCAGTGCTACGATTCTCCATTGCAATGCTGCTTTCTGGACACTGTGATACTTTCTGGCTTTCAATGTGATTGTGCATTCTGGTTATTGTCATCTCGCTTCTTCTCATTTTCCTTGCAATTTGGTATCGGAGCTGGTTCGAACTATGCTTCATTGATTCTTTGCAATAGCTGTTTGGTGCTTCGCATGAAGTGTGGGGCAGTGATAAGGCTTGGGCCCTGAATGATAGGCGGCCCAGGGTTGTGAGGGCGCGCCAGGAAGCTATGTGGTGACATTAGGGGTGTACGCTGGATGATGAGCTCGCTGATGTGGCATTTAAGCCGAGGTGGAACTGCATTCTGCTGTTGGTTGTGCCGAGGCAAAAGACCGGCCATCATGGTTGCATCCCTGCCGACCGCCGACCCGGCTGCCGACCGTATTGCAGCAGACCAGTAGGGCCGACCGGTCGGCGGTCCGCCGACCAGTCAGAAAACAACCATCCACTAATTTTTTTTCAGATCTGAGTTGGATGGAAGTTGTACTGCGCTTGCCGAGTACAGCCCAAATCCGCTGAAAATTTTTTGGGGATGGGGGGGTTGGGGGAG